GTTCAATTCTCACCAGGCTCAAGGTTGACTCAGCCTTCCGTCCTTCCAAGGTGGGTAAAATGAGGACCCAGATTGTTGGGGGCAAGGGGCTGCAAGCTGCTTAGAGTGGGCTGTAAAAGCATTATAAAGCAGTATATAAGTCTTAAGTCCTATTGCTATCAAGGCTCCTATTTTGCTAACCGGATTCTCCCCTGTCCCTACAGACCACCCTGCCAATGTTCAGAAGCCAGCAGTTCTCGGTGAAGAGACGATTCAGCGACTTTCTGGGCTTGTACGAGAAGCTTCTAGAGAAACACGCCCAACATGGAATGATCGTTCCTCCTCCTCCGGAGAAGAGTTTAATAGGTGAGAATGCCGGCAGGGGTTTGAGTCCAAACCTAACCGGTAAGATCTCGACTTAGGATCATTCGTTTAGGGACCAAAGCTACAAAGCGATTGAAAGAAAAAACATTTCTCGCGCAGCATTCCCCCATGGCCACGTGATCAAAATTCAGAGGCTTGGCCACAGGCTCACATTTACGACGGTTTTGCAGTGTCCCGGGGTTACGCGATCCCCTCTTGCGATCTCCCAAGAAGCAAAGGCAGTGGGCTAGGAGCCAGAAAAGTCACAAAGCGGGCAAAACTCACTTAACGACTGTCTCGCTTAACAGTGGAAATGTGGGCAAGGACTACCTGTGGTGGCCTAGCTTCACACGTTACCGCATGACTGTCAATTGAAAAGATACTCCTTGGGTCTATTTAGCTGCCCGAAAAAAGGGAGTGAGGGAAAAACAAGGCCGGCCTTAAATGCCTAGATAATCACCTCAGCAGCCCAAAGTTGTCAGAGCATAAGAAGGTTATTGGAGAACATGATGGATGACTCTTGGAGGCGGATGTGTCCCATTGGAGAAGTCACATCCAGGGTCAAGGGGGAAATGTATGGTGTAATTTAGTATTGGCTGCACCCAGCCACGTGCCGACATGGCAACCTCTAATAAATCAATTTCCTTTTCTCTGAAATGCGGCTGGAGACTTTTGATTTGAATGGGGTGGATGTGTTGGAGCCCTGACGATGACCAGAGTAACTTGGGGATTTATTACTCCCTAGATGAGACCCGTGGGCCTTGCAAACTCACCTGGCTGGAGGGAAATTCTGAAAGGCGATATCGGGGTAGATTGTTGGGCAGATGCGTCAATTTTAGATATTTGTTACAAACATAATTTAACCCCTGCCTAAGTAGAGGAGGGGACACGGTGGCTCGGAGGCTACAATGCTGAGCTTGTCAGTCAAAAGGTCGGCAATTCGGGGTTCGAATCCCTGGCACCCTGTAACGGAGTGAGCTCCTGTTACTTGTCCCAGCTTCTGCTAACCTAGCAGTTTGAAAGCGTGTAAAAAATGCAAGTAGAAAAATAGGGACCATATTTGGTGGGAAGGGAACAACGTTCCATGCGCCATCGGCGTTTAATCATGCCGGCCACATGACCACAGAGACGTCATCGGACAGCGCTGGCTCTTTGGCTTTGTAATGGAGATGAGCACCGCCCCTTAGAGCTGGAAATGACTAGCACGTAGGTACAGGGGAACCTTTACTTTTACCTAAGTAGAGGAGAAGGAAAGATAAAATGAAATGGCCAGATCCACAACTCCTGAATGCTACACATAGCATTCTATGCACAATTGTACATCCAGGGGCGCGCACCCCACAATGATCACAAACCGAGTAAACTGAGCCAAAGACAAAACAGCTCCGTTTCTGTAATCTGGGCTAATGCTCGGGGAAGTATCCCCTTTTTGGGGCCAGGAATGATGCATAAAATCTTTGGAAAGATTTCACACAACAGAGATACACACACATCTATTCAAATGTTCCCTAATCTGAAAAATGAACGGGAATCCCCAAAGGGTGTACTGTATGGGGTTTTTAAAAAGGGATATGGCTCCTCTCTCCAAGTTCAAAAGACTTAAAGGAAAGACCGTTTTCAGCACTTTTCCCCAATCTGATGCACTCCAAATGTTCTTTATGAAGTAAAGAACGAGTTTTGACTGATGTGCGCTGCTCATTGATATAACAAATAGTTCATTTTTTGACATCCCCAGAAAGTGCTATATAAAACATGGCCTCAAACACCAAGAGCCATTGCTACTCATCAGAGGTCTCCAAACTTGGCCACTTTGAGACTAGTGGACTTCAACTCCCAGAATTCCTCAACCAGCTATGCTGGCTGGGGAATTCTGGGAGTCAAAAGTCCACAAGTCTCAAAGTGGCCAAGTTTGGAGATTCCTGTTGTAGATAAAGTCAAACTCTATGGCTTTGGAATAAGCTAGCAGGCTTTAAGAGGGGTGGACTTCCAATTTCCAGAATTCTGGGAGGCGAAGTCCACAAGTCTTGAAGTTGCCAAGGTTGCAGACCGCTGATCTCAACTGAACCCCTTGTATATGCCCTATAGGTAACTCTTCAACCCCTTGTTTCTCTTTTTCTCTTGTCCCAGGGATGACCAAACTCAAGGTTGGAAAAGAAGACTCTTCCTCCACAGAATTCTTAGAGAGACGAAGAGCTGCCTTAGAAAGGTTGGGGGGAGCGTTGTGTTTCTCGTTGGCGGGTGTTGTAACCATTAAGGTGGTGCAGTGGGTTTGTTACTCGGGGTAGGGGAATTTGCCTCGTAGGAAGACGCTTACAAGCTCGCCCAACGTGTGATCAAGAGGAACATAAGGTCCAATGCATCTCAAACCTCCCCAGCGGTTTACTGCTGGTGGTCCTCAGACATCAACCCGTGAAGGATTCTCATTTGCGTTCCAACCCATCGGGAATGAATCGCGGGAGAACGTCCCGTTCCAAAATCCTTCGGAGATTTGTTCAGTAGGGCTGTTTCTCTGATGGAAATCGTCCTCTGGAACCTGGTCTCAGGGCTCCTGAAATCGGATCCTCTTGTCTGGAGTGGATTCCAGGAGAAACGAGGTCTGAGGAAATTCACCCCAGATGGAAATGGCTTCTAAATCTTTCCCCGAATACAGAAGAGAGAAGGGGAAGCCACCCCCCCAAAAAATCCCAGTTTCCTTTCCTGTGCTTTTTTTTTTTTCATAATTCCAGTTTCGATGGACACGTCACACCTCCCTTAAGGATAATTTGGTTCCTGGTGGAACTGTTTTCAAGCCACCACAAATGGTTTTCATTTTTTCCTTTACCGAAAATGTGGATTTCCCACACTTATTCCAGCATTCCTGGGTAGTTGTCCATCCCAAGGCCAGTTTAGCTTTCTAGCCCAAGAAAATCCGTAACAAGCCAGGAAGCATCCCGTGAATTCCAC